AAGAAAATATCTCCCTTTTCTTTGAACTTTGAGCATCGTAACTTTGCAGATGTTGTTTATGCTCAAACAGCAACATTACACACTAACTAAAGTTAGAAAAATTAAATCATAATCAACCACCCCTTTAAGGTAATTTATCAATAAGAAAGAAACTTTCACTTCAACATGGTTTAACTAGAATAATCATGTTGTTGTTTTTTGTAGTAAAACCATGGTTTATTTTCACAAGGGATATTAATTTGCATAGTCATCTTTTAAGCAAATTCATAAGTTGGCTATTTTTATTTCTGGGTTGTCGGTTGAACAGTTAATCCAGGCCGTATCCAGATCCGATGGTGGACCTGCGCCTAGACACGACTACAACGCATGATGTAGTCAGCCGAATCCGGGCCGTATCCAGATCCGATGGTGGACCTGCGCCTAGACACGACCACAACGCATGATGTAGTCAGCCGAATCCGGGCCGTATCCAGATCCGATGGTGGACCTGCGCCTAGACACGACCACAACGCATGATGCAGTCAGCCGAATCCGGGCCGTATCCAGATCCGATGGTGGACCTGCGCCTAGACACGACTACAACGCATGATGTAGTCAGCCGAATCCGGGCCGTATCCAGATCCGATGGTGGACCTGCGCCTAGACACGACCACAACGCATGATGTAGTCAGCCGAATCCGGGCCGTATCCAGATCCGATGGTGGACCTGCGCCTAGACACGACCACAACGCATGATGTAGTCAGGCGAATCCGGGCCGTATCCAGATCTGATGGTGGATGCGCCTAGACACGACCACAACGCGTGATGTAGTCAGCCGAATCCGGGCCGTATCCAGACCAGATGGTGGACCTGCGCCTAGACACGACCACAACGCATGATGTAGTCAGCCGAATCCGGGCCGTATCCAGATCCGATGGTGGCCCTGCGCCTAGACACAACCACAACGCATGATGTAGTCAGCCGAATCCGGGCCGTATCCAGATCCGATGGTGGACCTGCGCCTAGACACAACCACAACGCATGATGTAGTCAGCTGAATCCGGGCCGTATCCAGATCCGATGGTGGACCTGCGCCTAGACACGACCACAACGCATGATGTAGTCAGCCGAATCCGGGCCGTATCCAGATCCGATGGTGGACCTGCGCCTAGACACAACCACAACGCATGATGTAGTCAGCCGAATCCGGGCCGTATCCAGATCCGATGGTGGCCCTGCGCCTAGACACAACAACAACGCATGATGTAGTCAGCTGAATCCGGGCCGTATCCAGATCCGATGGTGGACCTGCGCCTAGACACGACCACAACGCATGATGTAGTCAGCCGAATCCGGGCCGTATCCAGATCCGATGGTGGCCCTGCGCCTAGACACAACCACAACGCATGATGTAGTCAGCTGAATCCGGGCCGTATCCAGATCCGATGGTGGACCTGCGCCTAGACACGACCACAACGCATGATGTAGTCAGCCGAATCCGGGCCGTATCCAGATCCGATGGTGGACCTGCGCCTAGACACAACCACAACGCATGATGTAGTCAGCCGAATCCGGGCCGTATCCAGATCCGATGGTGGAGCTGCGCCTGGACACGACCACAACGCATGATGTAGTCAGCCGAATCCGGGCCGTATCCAGATCCGATGGTGGACCTGCGCCTAAACACAACCACAACGCATGATGTAGTCAGCCGAATCCGGGCCGTATCCAGATCCGATGGTGGACCTGCGCCTAGACACGACCACAACGCATGATGTAGTCAGCTGAATCCGGGCCGTATCCAGACCAGATGGTGGACCTACGCCTAGACACGACCACAACGCATGATGTAGTCAGCCGAATCCGGGCCGTATCCAGATCCGATGGTGGACCTGCGCCTAGACACGACCACAACGCATGATGTAGTCAGCCGAATCCGGGCCGTATCCAGATCCGATGGTGGACCTGCGCCTAGACACGACCACAACGCATGATGTAGTCAGCCGAATCCGGGCCGTATCCAGATCCGATGGTGGACCTGCGCCTATACACAACCACAACGCATGATGTAGTCAGCCGAATCCGGGCCGTATCCAGATCCGATGGTGGACCTGCGCCTAGACACGACCACAACGCATGATGTAGTCAGCCGAATCCGGGCCGTATCCAGACCAGATGGTGGACCTGCGCCTAGACACGACCACAACGCATGATGTAGTCAGCCGAATCCGGGCCGTATCCAGATCCGATGTTGGACCTGCGCCTAGACACAACCACAACGCATGATGTAGTCAGCCGAATCCGGGCCGTATCCAGATCCGATGGTGGACCTGCGCCTAGACACGACCACAACACATGATGTAGTCAGCTGAATCCGGGCCGTATCCAGACCAGATGGTGGACCTGCGCCTAGACACGACCACAACGCATGATGTAGTCAGCTGAATCCGGGCCGTATCCAGATCCGATGGTGGACCTGCGCCTAGACACGACCACAACGCATGATGTAGTCAGCCGAATCCGGGCCGTATCCAGATCCGATGGTGGACCTGCGCCTAGACACAACCACAACGCATGATGTAGTCAGCCGAATCCGGGCCGTATCCAGATCAGATGGTGGACCTGCGCCTAGACACGACCACAACGCATGATGTAGTCAGCCGGATCCGGGCCGTATCCAGACCAGATGGTGGACCTGCGCCTAGACACGACCACAACGCATGATGTAGTCAGCCGAATCCGGGCCGTATCCAGATCCGATGGTGGACCTGCGCCTAGACACAACCACAACGCATGATGTAGTCAGCCGAATCCGGGCCGTATCCAGATCCGATGGTGGACCTGCACCTAGACACAACCACAACGCATGATGTAGTCAGCCGGATCCGGGCCGTATCCAGACCAGATGGTGGACCTGCGCCTAGACACGACCACAACGCATGATGTAGTCAGCCGAATCCGGGCCGTATCCAGATCCGATGGTGGACCTGCGCCTAGACACAACCACAACGCATGACGTAGTCAGCCGAATCCGGGCCGTATCCAGACCAGATGGTGGACCTGCGCCTAGACACGACCACAACGCATGATGTAGTCAGCCGAATCCGGGCCGTATCCAGATCCGATGGTGGACCTGCGCCTAGACACGACCACAACGCATGATGTAGTCAGCCGAATCCGGGCCGTATCCAGACCAGATGGTGGACCTGCGCCTAGACACGACCACAACGCTTGATGTAGTCAGCCGAATCCGGGGCGTATCCAGATCCGATGGTGGACCTGCGCCTAGACACGACCACAACGCATGATGTAGTCAGCCGAATCCGGGCCGTATCCAGATCCGATGGTGGACCTGCGCCTAGACACAACCACAACGCATGATGTAGTCAGCCGAATCCGGGCCGTATCCAGACCAGATGGTGGACCTGCGCCTAGACACGACCACAACGCTTGATGTAGTCAGCCGGATCCGCGCCGTATCCTGATGGTGGCCCTGCACCTAGACACGACCACAATGCAGCCCTGAAGTGTCAGCAGAGATTGTGTCAACTAGACTCTCCCTGTTAAGGCCTCATTGACACGACAGCCATCAGCACTGATCCTCAACAAACCCTTCTCCATACCGGCGTGATGACTCCAACCTTCAGCCAGATCTGGATAATATTCTGAATGTTCTGATCCAATCTGACTTCTGACCTGTAATGGTGCCTGAATCATAATCATACAAAGTTTGTTTGTTGGCCAGAGGAGACCAGGCCCCCGACTGAGCCTGGTATCTCCGAAGTTTTTTTCTTCCCCATTCTGTCACCTGATGGAGTTTTGGTTCCATGCCACTGTCACCTTTGTCGCCTCTGGCTTTTGGCTTGCTTATTTGGGGACATTTAGCATTGAATATTCAACAATATTATTGATCTACCTGCATTGACACCATTATGAGAACTGAACTGAGCTGGACGATGACATCACTGTTTTCTCCAGAGCGTCTGTCTGTCTGTCTGTAAAAAAGAAAAGAAAAAAGAACTAAATTAATAACTTTTTTACAATGAAAATGATCCATCACTGATGTTACTTAAGCTGGACTATGACACAATTTTCTTCTAGATCTGCTATACAAACAAACTTTGTTGCATTATTTTTCTGTTATCACTGTAAAGCTGCTTTGAAACAATCTGTATTTTAAAAAGTGCTATATAAATAAAGGTGACTTGACATTAATGATAGCAGCAACCTCTCACAGGAAACAACAATTGGATCCACAGGAGCAAATGGAATCAAACAAAGAGTTTAACAACATAGCTTAAACTCAGAGAAAAACAATGGTTAGATGTTGAACAACAGTGAACTAGACTAGATATGTTACTAGTCTTACTCTCTAACCACATTAAGCCATGACTGGCAACATGGATCTGACTGCTGGTCGGTAGAGCCAGAGAGAAATCCAGGAACAGCAGTAAAACCGGAAATCCAGGTAATCACAAAAGAAAGGCAAACACACAGGAACAGAAACTAGAACATTGGACAGCAAAGGGACAGACATGACATGACATGAGCCACAACGATCTGACAGATGTAACCGTGGCGTCCCTTTTGCCACACTAGTCCCGACTACGCCACCGGGGTTATATACCCACGGACATAACAGCAACCCAAGTTCAAACAAACAGTAATTGATAAAAGAACGAAGACGTGACCTTCAAGTTTAATAACTTTTATTGGCAATGGGTTATAAACCTCTGAATAAATAATCACTTTTAGTTGTGTGTATTATAAAAGGAGCACTAAAACTTAATCACATAAACATTAAGTTATCATTAAATAGCTCAATTACAAATAGGAGTAACCAAGCCTGTGTGGAAAATAGAGGAGGGTCATTGGCCGCGGACCCGCCGCCCTAGGAGCACACACCACACGTGTACTATTCTCAAGATGATAAAATCACTTCTAAAAGCAAATTCAGTGCATAATACAAACCACTCTACACTCCCACATCAATACGCATGCAGTGAAGGAAATCTCACACCAGCTGCAGTGAAGGAAAGGCCCAAACGACCCCAGAGGAAGTACTCCCACACAGGCTGGCTCCTAGGACACAAAAGAATATAAGTTAACACTCCCCTTTACATATACTCAAACACAGCGGTTGGTCTAAACCAAAATCAGATAATATGATCAGTACACAAAAATAATAAACCACAATTTAAGCAGCAGGAAATCAGTAACCAAAACTTTGAGGTTATTATAACGAAAATAAATCATAAACAAAACAGCAGGGCCTAGACGTCAGAGGTCCACGTGCATAGGGCTCCACAAAGGAGGATCTGCCAAATAAACACAAAACAAACCATAAATATCTAAAATACAGATCCCAATAGACCTCTGCCACAAATTCCATGCAACATCATTACACCTTTACTTTACAGAATTGTTAGATAATTCAATGATTATACATGAAATGTTAACACCAAAGCAAACCTAACAATCTAACACACACATACCTCTATCGTAATCCAAGAATAAAACAGACTGGGGTGAATGATTCGTGGCTATGGATTAAACACGACATCCTATCGCTCACACTCTTGTATCAAGGACTTCCGCCCTGCGTTTAACATAAAATCAATGAATAATAATTAAAAAAAAAAAAAAAACTAACTAACGTCTTTGTATTACAACAAGAATGCCACACTTACGACATGAAATAAATACACGCCCCGCTTTATACCGAATCCTTACTCGGTCACACAAAGATGACCGCGGCGCAAACACAAGGGTAGATGTAGGGAGAACTAATGCCGCGTTCCAGGCAACCTGTAACCCGTGTTTTTTCAACTGGTAACTGGGAGTACATCGATCTAGTACGAATTCACGGGTGGGAAGTCACGGGTTTGACTGCCGTTCCAGTGCACTTTCACGGGTATAAGGTTGGAAAAACACGGGTTACAGGTTGCCTGGAACGATGTACTCCCAGTTACGAGTTGGAAAAACACGGGTTACAGGTTGCCTGGAACGCGGCATAAGTACCAGGGGCCGGTTGCACCAGCTGTGCATAAGTTACAACTTAGCCTAGTTTTGACGTAAATGGGCACTAAGTTACAACTTACGCACTACTAAATATTTTTACGTTGCACCATTAAACTTAGTTTTAACATAACTCTACGTTCTACGTACTAAATATTTATGGCAGCCTCCGATCAGGAGTAGGCCTAACAGTTGGAATAAAATATCAGATAGATGAACTGCATCAATAAGCTCTTCTTTTACCTGACAGACTTCAATTCTTTAGACATATATGATAATGCTGACATTTACACTCGCTTACATTTTAAGAGAGACTTTGTTAGCAGCTCTTTAACACGAACCCGTCCTAAACAGCGCCGCTGTGTGCATCGGTCCATGTTGTGCATGTCAAATATCAGTCATAATCAATAAACGTAATTTCTTGTTTTTTTTTGTATCAATATTTATTTATTGATCCTTATTAATTTCATTTCAAATACAGTTTCTGAATGTTATTTATAGCCTATATAAAAACACTTATGTTATTCATGATCAAGTATCGTATTAAATGGAAACTTATTTTTTACCGTTAGTAACGTGAGGCAAAAGAAGTTATGCCGCGTTCCAGGCAACCTGTAACCCGTGTTTTTCCAACCTTATACCTGTGAAAAGGCACTGGAACGGCAGTCAAACCCGTGACTTCCCACCCGTGAACTCGTACTAGATCGATGTACTCCCAGTTACGAGTTGGAAAAACACGGGTTACAGGTTGCCTGGAACGCGGCATTAGTTACAAACTAGTTACTAAGCCTAGTGTGGACTTTACGTTACAATCTAAGAAAGAACTTTCGAACGGCTGGTGCAACTCTACCCAGGTGTGGTTGGCCTGATTAGCTTGACCAAAGTCCTTTTAGGCAAGCCATGCCACTCGGCCGCCATCTTGGCAACGCCTCCGGGCAGCTATTTCGGACTAACAAGACCAGGCTCCTATCTAAATGATTGGGCAGAGAGTCAGAACTGCACTTTCAATGGTCACCGGGACATAAAAACTGCATGTATAGAAACAGCAGTAAAATATGATAAAAATCGCTGAAAAAGTTTGATGACTTTGCCCCAAAATAAGGTTTAAAACGCCTTTTTCCCCACAGGTTATACTTTTACTACGCATGCGCAAGGGTTCTCTCGCTCTCTGTCGTGCGCGCGCTACACAGTTTGAAACACAGTATGTGTGAGCTCTCGCTCGCTCGCTCTAGATTCTGGGAGATTTGAACTAATTTGCGGTCATCAGGGAGCCGCTATCAATATGCGGTAGACACTTGGGATGTCTCATATATTTCAACGCACACATACACTGCATATCAAATCTGCCGCCTTTTCAAACAGTAACGTATTTTCCGCTGTCGCAAACCTCAACTGTGCGCATGCGTCAGTGGAAACAGATGATAGGCTTAAATGTTTCCCGGCTTGACTGTTAAAAGCAGACGATTGGCTTTCCAGCGGGAGGGGCGGGACATGTGCATACAACCGCCATCTTTGGCGTTACGGGTTTTCCCTATATAGTTGTATTGAGGATTGAGTAAGTGGCATGTCTCTACATAAATAGTCTCTGACTTTGGTCAAGCTAATCAGGCCAACCACACCTGGGTAGAGTTGCACCAGCAACATAAATAGTCTCTGGCTTGACAGCTCCATGAGTTGCCCAGCAACAACAAGACAAAAGAGAGAAATCTGATCTATGTAAATGACTGGATTGCTCACTGGAAGTGTTCAAGCAGCCATCTTACGATTCCATGTAGAGCGCATTGATTACAAAATGTTGAGGCCAATAAGCAAAAAACATTATGTCTTATATGTTTGACTGTTCAACGTAGGATATTGAATCATTGTACAGAAATGCTATCGTGACACAAATCATATGAAGAAGGACTGATTTATTTGCTCCAGTTCTATGACACGTTCTGGGAATGAATTCCTTATAACTGGAAGGCTATATTTATTGTAGTCTGTATGTGAGAGGGGAAAAACATAGTCTTCGCTATATAGCCTACTATTAAACAAGGCTAAAATGTCTGCTGTCATTTCAGTTGATCATGATGTCAAGGAAAAAGCCTGTTTTTGAACTTCACGTAAAGCTGATGCTGCAATTGACCAATGACTAATGTATATTTGCTGCTTATGACATTATATTGTTGTTGAAGATATCGAAATGCTTAAACAGAACTATAGGCCTAAGTCTCATTCAATAAATGAATTATACACATTCTGTAGAAATGTCTGATGCCATTTCAGGTCGTGTCATAAAATATTTGACCCGTATGGCGTTGCAATTGTCCGAATGATCTACAATATTTTGCTTTCACTTGACAAGAACAACTAGGCTATAGTTTAACGTGCCAAATGTGCACAACCGTATTTCATCTCTTATCTGGACCATATTAGCTCTATATTGTTATACATAGCCTAATTCCTACTGCTTTAAGAGAAATGTCCCATGTTTAGACATACTTCAGTGAAGCAGCCTTTATTAGAATGTGTAATGTCTCGACATGCACAGGTATATGACGTGTTTTCCATGGAAAAAAATAATGTAGCTTCCTGGTTAACACAGCATAAAACAAACGCCCCGACAAACAAAACCTGTTCAAATTCCCCACTGACAAGTGTTATTACCCAGACTCTGTTTCACCATTCCGAGGTTTTACTTTAGAGAATAGGCCTATATAAACAGTTATTGAGAATGTTTAGAATGCTTTAGTTTGTATGGTATCATGGTGTAGGCAGATTTATAGAAAGTGTGGATGAGACTATTAGTTTGTTTTTTTCTATGAACGGTCTGAAACAACATTTAAAAAAAATATTAGACGTCCAAATAAAACATTTCAGAAAAACGTTCAATTAACGATGTATAACATGACTTTCTCCCATTCATTCTCTACCCACCGCATGCTTTAGAGGCCAATAAGCAAAAAACATTATGTCTTATGTTTGACTGTTTAACGTAGGCCTATAATAAGCTGCATGATATTGAATCATTGTACACTATCGTGACACTGATCATATGTGCAAAAATGACTGATTTATTTGCTCCAGTTTTAGGAATGTCCTTACAGGAAGGATATATTTATTGTAGTTAGTGAGATGTGAGAGTGGAAAAACATAGTCTTCGCTATCCCATACTATTAAACAAGGCTAAAATGTCTGCTGTCATTTCAATTGATCATGATGTCAAGGAAAATGAGCCTGTTTTTGAACTTCACGTAAACGCCCAGCTGATGGCGCTGCAACCAATGACTAGGTAATCTATACTTGCTGCTTATGATATTGTTTTGTTGTTGAAGATATCGAAATGATAAAACAGACCTAAAAGTCTCATTCACACTTAAATTAATTATACACATTCTGTAGAAATGTCTGATGTCATTTTAACGTCGTGTTATAAAAGATGATGCACGTTAACGACCAGTAGATGGCGCTGCAATTGTCCGAATGACTAATCAACAATTTTTTGCTTTTGCTTGAGAAAACTATATAATCATTTTACGTGCCAAATGTGCACATGTATTTCATCTCAAGACAACTTTCAGTATACTTTTGGACCTTTAGCTTTCATTTTGTTATACATATTAATTCATTCACCTAATTCATACTTTTCAATTATATTCATACTTTATGCCTAGCTGTTACGGTAAAATGCCATATGGTTTGCATCCTGTTAGCTGCTTTAAGAGAACAAATGTTTCCCATGTTTAGACATACTTCAGTGAACCTGCTTTAAGAACTAAGGTGCCCCATGTTTAGACAAACTTCAGTGAAGACTTTATTAGAATGTGTAAATGTCTCGACATGCACAGGTGTATGACGTGTTTTCCATGGAACAAATAATGTAGCTTCCTGGTTAACACAGATAGCATAAAACAAAAGCCCCGACAAAACCTGTACAAATTCCACAACTGACAGACTCAAGTATTTCCCAGACTCTGTTTCACCATACTGGGGTTTTACTTTAGAGAAGTATAAACATAGCAGTGTATTTACATTGCTCTTATTGAGAATTGTTAGAGTGCTTTTAGTTTGTATGGTAGTACACCATGGTGTAGGCAGATTTATAGACTACATACAAAAAAATAATGAAACGTTTTAGGCAAGTATCTATCATTTGTTTGACAGCATAGTTATGAAATGTCCAAGCTATGTAAAGTCTTTTCCTGTTGAAGATTAAGAAACAAAAACAACAGTTTCATCTAAATATAGCATATATACAGACTGTATCTTGTTGTTTGTAGAAAAAAAAAAACAATGCACAAAATAAAAATACAAGTTATTTCACAGACTCAAATATATCAAATATACCGGTAGGTTTAGAAATGTCTTTGCATTTTGAAATGAAAAATTGTCAAATAATAGAAAACAAACATGTGAATGACTAGAAAAGTAATACCCTAGAGTATTTAAGGCACAGTGCTTCTTATTGTTTCTATGTCCAAAATTATATGCAAACATGTAGTTATTAAAACTAAAGTTTCCTATTACTGGTGATACTTTCAAAGGAATGATTCATTGCAACTGTAGAAATGAATAAGCAAATATCTATCATTTGTTTTAACAGCACAGAATGATAAGAACCGTCTTGGCCTTGTTATCATGCCTTTAAAATTTGCATTTGCAAATGTGACTCAGTGTCGCATTTAACATTGCGTGTGTAATTGTGACCAATAATAAAGAAAAATGAACATCAAGAATAATCATGCATAACCTCTTCGAGCATTTAAGGCACTGTTCAAAGTCTTCATGTAGAAACAGTGAAACCTAAATGCAAGGTCTTGGCTTTGAGTCTACATAAACAATGAACATTTGCATAGATCTCATACTGGTCATATTTCTTTGTAACTGTTGCTTTGTAACTTTGTATGTTACATATAAAAATTTTTCAGTGCTTCAGTTATGTACAGCGCAGCTAAAAAGACTGATATGAAGTGTCTATTTCAATAGTGGGTGGAAAAAGCAAAGAAGAGGGCCACAAACTTTGCTGCTCTGATGATGTGGGATCTTGGCCGGTGCTGTGGGGGAATTTCAGCGCTCCACATTCATTAAGTGCTTGTTCAGTTCTGATGCTCGTGCTCCACTGTCCTTCTGTGCTCTTTGTTAAGCCTTCAAAAGCCTGATACCCACCATCACTTGGTGTGACGCTGCCACCATGGACAAACAGAGAAGGATATAGTGGATTTTTACTAGTGATGAGATTTTTCACAATGAACTTTTCATCAGAATCAATATCATTTAAAAGGTTCAAACAAACATCCGCATCATTTCCCTGGTTCACAACGCTGTTGAAGGACTGATATCCGTCTTCCAAAGCATCATTAGTGGGAACGTTAAACTGTATCTTGCTGACATCAGCACTCATAGAGGAGTTTTCAAAGCTAGAAATGTCCCTCTTGTCAGATTGACAGGAATGATCACAGCTCAGCTGACCCAGGAAGGATGAATCATCATTGGACGATCCGAAATACGACATGTTGCTGAAAACCGATGAGCCAGAGCAGTTGCCCGAATCTCTCTTTGCACGGTTGCGTTCTCTTGAGGAACTGATATCAACACTCTTGACTTGCTGATTGCTGGGTGTGTTGTTGGCAAAGAGAAAGGATTTGAAATCCTCCTCCCGGGCATGTTCGACACGTGATAAGACGGTGATCCGTCTGCAATTCTCCTTGTCATTACTAGAATCAAAACCAGCCTGGCCATAATCGTCTGCTGCTGACTCAACACTGTGGGAACTTTTCTCATTGTTTGTATCAACTGATAATGTGGAGATCCTGTAGAGAGACAAACATGTTGAGGCGTTATTAATCAGAATTAGAGCGTTGCTAGTCTGTCATGTGTTTCTGAAGTTTTTGGGAAAACTTACAATTTATTTTCCTCCTTAAAGTCCAGTTTTGGAATCTCTACATGGATTGAGGAGAAGTCCATAATGGAAGGAGGCAAAATATGACCCTATTAATCAAAAATAAAGAAAAATTAGGGTAAGAAAAAAGATTGATCTGCATAAATGATGTAATATGATTATTGATGGCTATTGCATGATTTGTATCTTTCTCCAACCTTCTCTTCTCCAAGATTGGCGTCTATTTTTGGCTTGGAGATCTTGTCCCACCAATTCATCTTCATCCTGTAACGAGGAAGTAAAGTGTGTCAGAACTAAATTTGTCAAGGATGCACAAAGGAATACTGTAGCAAAAATGCAAAATGTAGAATGATGGCGAGACACAAAACAGAGATCTCACCTCAAAACACAGATGAAGATAGTACAAATGATGATGATTAAAACAACACATAGAGGCGGAACCATCGTTCTGAGTAATTCATTTGGAGATGAGGCTGTGGAGCACATATAGATTGATCAGGATTATTAAAAAGCATTAAAACACACACAGTAATAACTCTGAGAAAAAAACACATTGACTTACAGCTGGTGAACTCAACTGGTGCGCTCTGGTAACTCAATATCTCGTGTGAGTTATAGCTTGTGCTCATTCTTGCAGTCAGAATGTAGTTGGTGTTTGGCTGGAGATTTCTGCCCACGATCTCATAGAATCCCCGGGAGTTTGGCTCATTCCTGGACATCTGTATGGGCAAAGTGTTTATTTTATTTTTTTTTATGACACATCTATATGTGAATATGCATGAATTCATTTAATATCATCTATATATCATCTTCCTTACGGTTTCATCTCCTCCTTCACTCCTATAGGTCAGATGTATTTCCAAACTTTCTGCAAAATATGTTTTCCCATACTTGTCATCCCAAGTTACATTAAAATCTCCATTTTTAGTCTTCTGAACTGATAAGACTGGAGTTTTTGGTTTGACTGCAGAAAATGAAAATCACATATTTGTAATTGTGTCAGATAAGGCCAGATAACACCTTTTTTTTATTTCAGAATATTTTAAAGTATGAAAAAGCATAACAAGAACATATAGACAACAAATATACTCACTGAAGTCCATTGTCACAAATGTTTTGTTTAATAAAACATTTGTTCCGTTCAGAAGTGTAGTAGAGAATATCTCTGTTAAAACAAACCCTTCGACTTTAATTTTGCATTCACAGTTGGCACTGTGATGACTTCTCTCAAAGATGCATGTTTTCAACCTGCAATATAAGAGTTAATAGTGTCAGTTGATTGCTAAATGAACAGTAAATCATTTTAGTTATATTTATAGAGGAATTGAACAAATACATACGTATCTATTACAGTATGTGTGATGTTGAGTTTGTATCCAGAGCAACTTATGAGGCCGTCAAACCAGAAACTGCACTTCATTTCTGTCTCATAGTCATTGAAACACTTCAAGTCCTTCTCTGTGGGTTCTACAGAGATTTTAGATAAGGAAAATAAAAGAAGTCACTATCACAAATGACTAAGGAACAAGTTGTTTTGTTAAAGTAAAAGTTCTTTTGACAGTAAAACACTGCATAAAAAACATAAAAGTGGTGTCATCTGAATCAGTTTTTAATGTTTAATTCGTTATAAAACATTGATCCACATCAGCTTGTCATCAACATGTTTTAAATAAATGAATGAATCAACGATTAAATATACTCAGCAGAAGGGAAAGCCACTAACCTAAAAAGTGTATAGAGCTAAACATTTGGAAACAATTGTGAAAGTGACACACACACACACACAGAGAGAGAGAGAGAGAGAGAGAAGAGCAGAGCAGATACACATGGGGATATTATATATTAAAGTCACAAAGTGACAAATAGGGCAAGAACAAGAGCTCATTCTTAGCGAAATAAACATTTACCGTAACATAGTGTTTGGCAGATGAGTGTGAGGATGATCTGACAAAGAAGAAATGTGGAAAACATCCTGTACTCCCTATAAGCATAAATATAATCTCATTCATCTTTAAACAATTACATATAGCCTATGTATGTAATAAGATAAAATGTTAAAATATGATATCTAGACAAAATATAGTTTTGTCATACCTTTTGACTGTAACTATAGGACAGTTCGTCGCTGCGTTCGCAGAGTAAAAATAAAAGAAACCGAATTTACTGACCACTCTGTAGACAAATTAAACATATGATGTCAGTCACAGACGCATAAAAACAACACACGACGAGCAGTTTAAACCGTGTAAATGATGGTCTACCATAAGCTTCCCTCTTCGCCCACGCAACATGGAAGTGGACCTTTCCTGGAACACACGCACGCAGCACTTCTGCTGTTCCACTCCCGCCCTGCGCGCGATCGAGCTGTTCCCTTCCCGAATCCTGCGCGCTCCCTCCCTCACACTGATCTCTCTCGTCTCTGCTCAAGCACGCGGATAGGAAAAGCACGAAACAAACATAACGCCCGTCAGATATAAACAAGATTAGTCTTCGTTATAACGTGTTGTTTATTAATTAAGGTTAGCCAATAAACACAAAGGAAATTATGCAAGGCTCACAAAAAAAGGAAGCGCATGAGATTGCATTTCAGAGAAACATGCAATTCATTTCAGTTCCTGTATCGTTTTTTGTAAATAATTTATTTGTTTAACGTTACCTCTCTGCAAAACAGTTTCAGGAAGGCACATAGGTTTATTTTTAAATGTTTAAAAACATTAATGGTAGCTTATGGTTGTGTTGTGTGTGATTTTGCCGTTACAGGAAGAACGGGTATTTTTTTTTCTTTTTTTTTTTTTGCTGTTGAACTCTCTCTCTCTCTCTCTCTCTCTCTCTCTCTCTCTCTCTCTCTCTCTCTCTCTCTCTCTCTCTCTCTCTCTCTCTCTCTCTCTCTCTCTCTCTTTTCCCAACGCTGCCAGACCATAGACTGAAAATAAATAAATATTGGCAATAGGGACGCCATGTGGTTGCAAACGGCATGACATTATTTTACATTTAGATACAAAGGCCATGAATAGTCATTGGAACGAGTTTAACAATACAACATGGCCTGCAGGCAAACACAAAACTTTTTTAAACCGTAGTTGTGTTTGCTTTGAATGCCTTACATATGTTTTTTTTGATATAATCACATAAAAAAAGCAGGCCTACTACCAACCATAGCCTACATGTGGATTCCACGCATGGAATCCACATGTACCAGATTTGGCCCGGATCTGGGCAGACATGTTGCTGTCTGGGCTACTTTATAATGTCATAACCTTACGATGACAAAACATATGTGCTTTGTTTTTTATCTGTTTCTGTTTTAGATCATACTGTGGCTCTTATTCCATTTGTTCAAGGAGTTTATGCCACCTTCTGATTAGTAGGCTAAACATTGTGTTTGTAGATTTGTTTGCATGGTGTTGCAAACAAATTTTGTTTAGAGATTGTAAATGTAGATTTGTTTGCATGGTGTTGTTTGCAACTTTACATTGTGTATGTGCCATCTTTTGTTCAAAACGAGTCAAATGCATTCCATATTGAAAGTCATTTTTGATGCACAGGATCCTATTTTAGTTGCCTTTCTGCTAGAAGATCATTTGTCCGATTAATATGAATTCATCTGAAAATAGTGCTTTTCAGTTGTGTGAAACAGCCTTGCCATGTACGAACAGTCTCAGTGCACTTTTCCACTATTTCAATTAATATGTCCCTCTTCATTGTTATTGTTTTAAATGTGTATTGACATTTCAAAGATGATTTTCAGGGTTAAATAAACGATCAGAGCAAAATCAATTCCTTCTGCACACACAGATTTTTTTTTTTTACTTTTTACACTAGTGCAGCTATGGCATGTTAAAGTGTAATTTAAACAAACAACATGTCCTTAAAAGGTCATGCTTACCATTTTTGTCAAATATTATGAAAGCTTTACACAAAACTGTAAAGTTATATATATATATATATATATATATTTCAGAAAGTAATAGCATGCAAAACATATTGTAAATAAGCCTAGTTACATTTTACTTCATAGGCCTATTCAGATCTACAGCTGTCAATTGTCACTAAATTATTATTTATATTAAATTAAATATAGGCTAGGCTATACTTGATGGGTGATAATATACACAAGTATATTATGTCTTGATCATACAAGTGTTGTCTGTCGTGTTTTGATCCCAAGTGAACCTAAAGATTTTTTTTCAACGCCTGCACCTTGGAACCATAGACTGTGGGACCTTCAAGGTTTGCGTTCTCGAGCCACCAGGCACTGTGAACGGTGTCGTGTAAGCGGCCCCTAAGTTAATAACTCACTGATTCTTGAGAGTCGGGACAAAACACGTTTTAAAAAACTTTTTTTTACAATACACACTATATCAATTAGAGTTGTATGTTTCTGCAGAGAAAGGTCTTAACTATTTAACCATGTAAAGGAACAGGTTCTAAATAAAAACACATTTTTAACAAATAAACATGTTTCCCTTCAGAACTGAATTTGTGTCAACTCCGTCAGACACACTTTAAAGTATACAATTTTAATTCTTCCAATCCAACAAGAATATAAAGTGCTGAAGTATATTGTAATAGTGTTTAGTTACTCTGATATGTAAAAAAAATTCAATATATAAACTTAAGTTGTGATTTCACACTATTCTGAAAACTCAGATTTCTAAATATTTGCATTTTCAAACTTTGATTTTAATTTCAATATTGTAAAAACAAATTCCTTAAATAAATAAAACATAAGAAGATGTAGATCAGATGGTCCTTTATTACAAAAACAACATAAACTGAAGGAAGAACATTTTTTCCCCCAAAAATTAACAAAAACAAAAACATACATCCAACGCTGTTGATGAAGATATGACGGTGTTGATGAAAAACTGACGGTGTTGATGAAAACCTGACGGTGTTGATGAAGATCTGACGGTGTTGACAAAAAATATGTGTGCATTGTGATGTGCTCAGATGTGCTCTTTAAACTACTACTAAAACTACTCCTTGTTATTAGAGTATTGAACTTACTGTAAAGCAAACTATAATAAACATATTGCACATACACCGTTTCCAACTATTATAAATTACACCGTTTCCAACTATCAAAAAAAAAAACAATAAGGGAAACCAGGGGCCCTCCTCCCCCTCCGTTTTCATCTACCTCCCCTATACCACTTCCTGCTCTCCTTTTTCTCATCCACCTCTTCTCCTCTTCCTTTCCCTCTTTTGTAAGTAGCCATTTACTTTAAAGTGTCGTGTGTGTGTGTGTGTGTGTGTGTGTGTGTGTGTGTGTGGGGGGGTGTGTGTGGGGGTGTGTGTGGGGGGGTGTGTGTGTGTTGGATGTGTGATTGCCCTGCACCGCCTACTTTATGGGTGTGATCTTAAATTGACATTCCTTGACAACAATACTGCAACACATAATCTATAGCTTAGAATCAGGTTCAATTAGCTTACTTAAGATTTCATTTTTGTCTAACCTGCGCTTATGCCTTGAGCAGCAGGCGTCGGACATGCGTATGGTTAAATAATGTAATGCATGCTATGTATGTGCATTTATGTGTAAATAAAACCCTGAAATAACAGTTTAACCCTTCACTATATTCACAAATAATATTATATTCGCACATTAAGAGGTTATTGGTGGATTTGTCAACTCCGTCAGCTTACAGGTCAACTCCTTCAGACATAGAACCTGACGGAGTTGACGTCTGACGGAGTTGACGTAAGGGCATGTATTTTCCCACCAAAACATGTATTGTACACTGCAGCTAGGTAGTTTTTCCTCAGTTGCTAGCTGTCCCAATAACCTCACTAAAATGCTTAAATTCAATCCACTATGGTTTAAAAAAAGTATCTTAACAGAAAGATGGTATTGACATGGTCCAGCTGTGACCATAGGAATATTGACATTGTTTGTCTAAAATATTAAAAAATGTAAAACATTCCAGAGCATGTGTGGTAGTGCTGCATTCACCACAGACAGGGAGATGAAAAGGGGTCCTCAAGGATATAGCTGACCATGCTATTTCCTGATTTAAAGAGCTTTATGAAAAAATCTGACGGGGTTGACAGAAACTGAGGACACAACTTTAATAGGCAGATATTTATGGAAAATATTGTTTGATGTTCACTTCATGCATTGTTTTTTATATTTATACCCCTTATTTTTTATTTGATATGTTTTCACAATTGTAGAGCTTTTTTAAAGTTTTTTGGGATGGTTAATATTGTAACCTCTTGCTGAGGACAAGGGCAATAACATGGACCATCTAACCACAGACCATACATTTAAACAACTTTTCCCCAAAAAGATAAAAAAGTTTATTCTAAAAATCAGATAGGTATATACAATTCCTTTAGATTTAACTTTGTAAGTATGTCATACATGATGAATTTCTTAATTTTTGCTATAAATTAGACTTTTCAATGTGGGACATGTTTTGTCCCGACTCTCAAGAATCAGTGAACTAATGATGTTTCCAACGGAAGTGAATCAATCAAAACTAACTTCATTCTAGAGCTGCTGTAAAGCCAAAACAATCTCTGTTACTTTAATTTCCTATTATTATGTGTATGGCTGCTTTCTTTGAAACAATCTATATTGTTAAAAGCGCTATATAAATGAAGGTGACTTTACTTGAACGAATTTTTCCCTGATAAGTGTGCAGGATGCAGTGTACACTGCGTAGGAACTCAAGTCACGTGATCGGAAGTATTGTTTCTAGTGGGACCGCGCGAATGTTGCACGAAATTGACATCTCGGCGGCACAACTTTGAATTTGAAAACAGGTATGTGAGGAGCAGATCAACACTCCAGAGCAATAACTGTTAAATGTAAATCTGTCTCGGTCAGACTACGATGTCGGTTTTTGAATGCCCGGACAAACGCATTCTTGATTTGACGTAACGTTAGCATGTCGCGCATCTTCGTGGCTTGCAGTATTTTTGTACATTCGTGCTGGAAGACATGTATATTAATGTATATTACCACAAATCCTTGCTCACACTAACACTAAATAATTGGTCGAAAGACTGTTGTTATATATAGACGGACATCTATAAACGTTAACATACGGTTAAGCTACAAGCTAGAACAGAATAATGATGAGACCTAAAGATGAAGTAACGTTACCATCTGAGTCAAATAGATCTTAAAATGACTACCTGTGTACAATTACCGTGGGAACATCATCATATTTGAACTATTGTTTAGTTGAACTTGTTAAATATTTTCTTGGTAATACATAAGGGCTCTCCAAATGTAATTTTCGTCACTAAAACTACGTCTTAGTTTTGCTTATCTTGGCGAAAGCCGAGTACAAATCAGCATGAAGTTTTAACATCTACTCTCGTGTAATGGAAATCATTTTATCATATTACCTAACTTAGCCTAACTTATGTTTGCCTGGTCAGTATTTGCAGGTTTGAGAAATTGTGTTTATCAAGATATGTGTTTTCCAGCTCAAGAGGACATTAAGCAGAATGTCCCGAGCAATGGCAGACAGTCACAGGCGCTTCTTGCAGACCATGATGAGCAATGGCATCATCAGTGCATCTCAGGCTGAAGCACTACACAAACACTGCTGTGAGACCCATGGAGGTACGAAGAAAACACTGCAAGCAATGTGTACACATTCTGTTGGATCATTTGTTTATTATTTCATTTTTATTCTGCACTAAAGGCAAAATTATTCTTTTGTTGATGTTTATGTGTCACACCTGGAAATTGAATGTCAGTTGTATATAAGTGTCCTGTTTGAATGCATCTTTCTTGCATTTCTAGCGCACTATGTGGCAGACAGATTAGATGATTTCATTAATGTCATCAACGCTCAGCTTCAGCCCTTGTTCATGTACATCAGGAAAGGCATGTCTGAAGAAAATGGACTGGAGTATTATGCCTTGGTTGGTTGAATCTAATCGATATACACATCTTCTTAATTTATGTGTTTGATGTTATATTTGATTTATGCATTATTAATATATATTAATAATGATATTAGTGTTATAATAAACTTGTGTTTTGACAATATAGTATATTATATAATTATTATATTATCAAAACAGAAATGACAAATACTTTTCATCTGTTATTCAGGTAAACATGACCGAGACAGACATAACAAGAATGGCGTCTGATTATGCAGATAATGAACTGGAATTATTCAGAAAAACGGTATGTTTATACACACAAAAAACAATTATATATATATATATATATATATATATATATATATATATACTGTATATATATATATAATTATTATTTTTTGGATCCCTCTGACCTGCAAGACATTCATTATGTTTATGAAAACACTACAACAAAGGCATCAGAAAAACCATCAAAGAAAGTTTATTATTACACATTTGAGTGATTCTAAGAAAATAAAGTTGTTGCCTTCAACACTCTCTACTGGAATCTTAGGCCATTCTTTGTGTAAAAGCATCGAACTCACTGATATTCTTTGGTGAAATTTGGAGAAAGCAGTGGCAGCACAGAAACCAAAAAGATTTAAATCCGGAGACTAGGGTTGCGCGATGTCTACCAATTTGGCATCAGACAATGTCTACAGTGAAGGGGGGGGGGGGGGGTATTTTCATAATATTCTCATTTTCCACTAGATATTTTCCTCTATATCTCATCAGCAATTTCGATTTCGAACTGCGTGCTTTCGCGCTGTGGCTGGTGCTGAGCCAAAGACGGACGCGCTCGCGCTTGTCATAGCCTATATCACAACTGTTCAGTGTTTTTAACCACATAATGTTTATTTTAGGTTTCAGATATTTAAATCAATATAATTTATAGCAAAACAATACATTTATAGTTTGAAAAATACACAATGGTGTCTATGGAAGCAGCAATAACAACCCATTCAAATATATTTGACGACGGTTTTTATTCATATCAGAGAGACACAGTGTAAATAACTATAAAGTCAACTCTATTTTTCTCCCAGTTCACCGGCCACTTACTTTCATGTATTTCGGGAGAAACTGATGAATTCACGCGCTGTAAAAAATCCAACAGACAGAAATCTCTGAACTGCGGCCCAAACACGGCACCCATCTCACGTTACAGATCAAGATCATTTATAAAGTTTTTTTTTAAATGACAAAACAAACTCACTTACACATATTTGAGAATCGTAATAGAAGATTAGTTCATGACATGGTAAGCAAGTTTATTAATATTTAGAAATAAAAGCGCTAAATCTGTCATACAGCGCTATTTTGGCTGTGGTGAATCACGTGCCAAGCATGGAAACGGGGGGGGGGCATCACGATGTTTAGATGTTAAAGAACATCCCGGACCAATCGCTGAACCAAGCTTTGGTAGATTGGGAAGTATGCTGGAAAGTGAAATGATTCAGTGAAGCTTCAGTTTACGTACTGAAGGCATCATAATCTTTGCCAAAAGGGCCTGATACTTCAAAGAATCCATGACACGGGTCACATGGTCAAGATTTTCACTTCCTGCAGCAGCAAAGCACTACAGCGACAAAAGTGACCACGCTTGACCCTTTGGTGTTCTTCTGGTCATAAGTCATGTTTTTTTTTGTGCCAGACATACTGCTGCTGACCCATAGGCCCAAAAAGTTCCAGTTTGGTCTCATCATTCCATAAAACATTCTTCCAGAACTCCACAGGTCCATCCAAAGTCCTTTTAAAATATTCAAGTTATCCTTTCCTGTTATGTCCTCTTGGTCAACAGTGGCATTCGTTGAGGTGTCCGGGCTAGAGCTCAAAATGCTTGTTTTGTGTTTTTATATTCTGCATTGAAATGTTTTTTTCCTTCTAAAATCATTTCATCTATCAAGTCTTTAGCAGTAAGCCAAGGGTTTCAAACCTCTTACTCCTTATTGATTTCGTCTTATTGATGAAATTGTGCTTTTTCTTCCATGCATTTTAAACTTTCAAACGATACTGGCAATAGTGTCTCTAGGAACTTTTAGTGTCTTGGAAATGTTCTTGTAGCCATAGCCTTTTTGATGTAACAAGACAACTTCTTTTGTGAGAGCTCTTTTGTCTTGGCCATATTTGCTACTTAAATTCAGCACATGCACTGGCTAATACATAATTAACTAAAACACAACTAAAGCTAATTAAGGGTACGTTTACACAACAACGATGCACTAAGCTTCACTAGCTTTTCAATTCAATTCAATTCATTTCAAATTTATTTGTATAGCGCTTTTCACAATACATATTGTTTCAAAGCAGCTTTACAGAAAGTGCATTTCAGAAATGTACATAGAAGAATATAGTTAGTTAATCATCATGTATTAATTTAGGGCATAACATATCGCCGGCGTTGAGTCGTCTCTTCACAGGCGTCGAGGCGTCTCTTCACAGGCGTCGAGTCGTCTCATCGCAGGCGTTGGGGCATCTGAAGTCTCCGTGAGAGGCTGGATACAAACTGGAGCTGACGAACGCTATTTAGCAGAAAAGCAGATGGGAAATAATTAGCGTAGCTGCTGTTCATAATATTAATGCAGTCGATCTGATTCAACAGTGGTATAAAAGGTAAGCATTATGTGAATGCTTGGCTGAAGAGATGCGTCTTTAATCTAGTTTTGAACTGGGAGAGCGAGTCTGAGCCACGAACAGTATCAGGAAGGCTATTCCAGAGTTTAGGAGCTAAATGTGAGAACGCCCTCCCTCCTTTAGTGGACTTAGATATCCTAGGAATGACCAGAAGCCTCGAATTTCGGGATCTTAAAGAACGCGATGGATTGTAGGGCGATAGAAGGTCCATTAAATACACAGGAGCTAAACCATTTAGGGCTTTATAGGTCAGTAGTAGTACTTTGTAATTGATACGGAACTTAATAGGTAACCAGTGCAGAGATGATAAAATCAGTGTTATATGATCATATTTTCTTGACCTAGTAAGAACTCTAGCGGCTGCATTTTGGACTAACTGTAGCTTGTTTATTGAAGATGCAGGACAACCAGCTAATAAAGCATTACAGTAATCTAGTCTCGAGGTCATGAATGCATGAACTAACTTTTCTGCATCAGAAACAGATAGCATGTTACGTAATTTAGCAATGTTTCTAAGGTGGAAAAAGGCTGTTCTTGTAACATACGAAATATGATTTTCGAAAGACAAGTTGCGGTCTAGTATAACACCCAGGTCTTTTACTGTAGTCGATAAGGTAACAGGACAACCTTCTAAATTAAAGTTGTATTGTAAGAGATTTTGTGGGTAGTTTTTTGGACCAATAAGTAATACCTCCGTTTTATCTGGATTTAGTAGCAGGAAATTACACGTCATCCAGCATTTTATATCTTTAAGACATTCTGTCAATTTAGATAAGTTAGTGTTTTCATCTGGTCGTGATGAAATATATAATTGAGTGTCATCAGCATAGCAGTGGAAATTAATTCCATGTTTTCTTATAATATTACCAAGTGGCAGCATATATATTGAGAATAGCAGAGGGCCTAACACTGATCCTTGCGGCACTCCATAGTCTACTGACATTATCTTCGATTTTTCCCCATTTAAACAGACAAAATGGTAACGGTCCGATAAGTACGATCTGAACCAGCTTAATGCCTGTCCCTGAACACCAGTGTAGTTTTGTAGTCGATCCAGGAGTATTTTATGATCTATAGTGTCGAACGCGGCGCTAAGATCGAGTAGAACTAGTATTGAGATACAGCCTTGGTCAGAAGCTAAAAGTAAATCATTTGTAATTTTAACTAGCGCAGTTTCTGTGCTATGATGCGGTCTGAATCCTGACTGAAATTTTTCATATATCTCATTTTCTTGCAAGAAAGAACACAATTGAGCGGACACAGTTTTTTCTAGTATTTTAGACATAAATGGAAGATTTGAAATCGGTCTGTAATTTGCTAAGTTATTTTGATCTAATTGCGGTTTCTTAATAAGAGGTTTTATTACTGCCAGCTTGAATATTTTTGGAACATGACCTAAAGATAAAGACGAGTTAATAATATTGAGAAGAGGCTCTTCCACTACAGGCAACACTTCTTTCAGTAGTTTAGTGGGTATTGGATCTAATAAACATGTTGTTGGTTTAGATGCAATGATAAGTTTATTTAGCTCTTCCTGTCCTACAGTTGTAAAGCGGTGTAGTTGTTCTTGAGGGACGATAATTGAGGCTGAATCACAAGACACCATAGAGGATTGTACATTTACAATTGTATTTCGGATGCTTTCTATTTTCTCATTGAAGTAATTCATAAAATCATTACAACTATACTGTAACGGAATATTTTGCTCTGGTGATGTCTGTTTATTTGTTAGTCTAGCCACGGTGTTAAATAAAAACCTTGGATTATTTTGGTTATTTTCTATTAGTTTGCGGAGATGCTCTGCCCTGGCTGCTTTTAGAGCCTTTTTATAACGTGACACACTGTCTTTCCACGCGATTCTAAAGACCTCTAAATTAGTTTGTTTCCATTTACGCTCTAAGTTACGAGTTTCTCTCTTGATAGCATGTGTAGTACTATTGTACCATGGTGCTTCAGTTTTCTCTCTAACCTTTTTCAATCTAATTGGTGCAACAATATCTAATGTACTAGAGAAAATGGTGCTCAAACTGCTGGTCATTTCCTCTAGTTCATCTGTTTGTTTGGGTTCACTGAGCAGCTGAGATAGATCAGGTAAGCTATTTGAGAATCTATCTATAGTGATTGGAAGGATTGCTCTGCCTGGTCGATAACGCGGCGCAACATGACAAATTTCAGCAGTACGTATTATACAAGTTACCATGTGATGATCAGTGAGATCGTCACTTTGCGGTATAATATCTATATCGGTTGGATCGGTTCCATATGATATAATTAAGTCTAGTGTATGATTTAGACGATGAGTGGGACCACTGACGTTTTGCTTGACCCCAAAGGAGTTTAATAAATCTGTAAACGCAGTCCCTAACGCATCATTTGTGTTATCTACGTGTATGTTAAAATCTCCAACAATTATTGCTTTATCGACATTGACCAATAGATCTGAGAGAAAGTCTGCAAACTCTTTTAGGAAATCAGTGTAGGGCCCTGGAGGTCTATATACAGTAGCCAAGGCTAGAGATAATAGGGATTTCTTTCTTACATCTAAGAGCGTAACATTTAGCACAAGTACTTCAAACGAATTAAACCTGTGACCTGTTTTCTGAGTAACATTAAGAATATCTCTATAGATTGTTGCAACACCGCCGCCACGACCGATCAGACGGGGCTCATGCTTATAACAATATCCTGACGGAGTAGACTCATTTAGACCGAAATACTAATTTGGTTTAAGCCAGGTTTCAGTAAGGCAAAGTACATCGAAGCTATTATCTGTGACCATTTCATTTACAATAACCGCCTTAGGTGTGAGCGATCTAATGTTTAGAAGACCTAGTTTTAGAAATTGTTTTTGTTCACTGATATTTAGATTTTCTGGTTTAATTACAATAAGATTTTTCCTAGATCCTACACTAGATTTATTGTTTGGCCTCACTAGACGAGGAATAGACACAGTTTCTATATAATGTTCTACACTACTTATATCAATTAAGTTGGGACAGCAAAGACTGTGAATTGGACTTTGACTTACTAGTCAGATGGTGTGCAACGTCTTGGAGATGTTGTCCGACAGAACAGCCGCTCCGATTCTGCTGGGGTGCAGGCCATCAGCACGGTACAGCCTGGGTCGCTCCCAAAACAGATTCCAATTATTTACAAAGAGCAGTTTCTGTTCATTACACCATGACATTAACCATTCATTTAGAGCAAATAATCTACTGAACCTTTCTTGTCCTAGTCGGTACGTGGGAAGCGGTCCAGACACGATGATCGTTGCCTCAGGCGCTGTGCTGCGTACCGCCTCGATCAGGCTCCTGTAGTCCTTCTTCAGAACCTCCGTCTGCCGCAGCCTGATGTCGTTCGTTCCCGCATGGAGGACAACGGCTCCGACGCGCTCGTCACCGTTCAGAATCTCGGGAACCTGTGCGGCGACATCAAGAACACGAGCACCAGGAAAGCAGTGAGTGCGCACCTTACCCTTACCTGAGGTAGCGCGGACATGACGGACCATGGAAGTGCCGATGATCACGGCGTCGTCGCGTTCCGACTCGTGAAGAGGGGAGAAGCGGTTCCGGGTGGAGATCTCGAAGACCGGGAGGGGCGGAGAGGTTCTTGCTCTGGTCCTGGCTCGTGTCTTCCGCTGTTTTCCTTTGCGTTCAGACGCTAACGTTGTCAAAACAATCACCGTTCATACGGATCTGCGAAAAAGACTAAAATTGCTGCATTATGCTGCCAGGCCAGTAGTTGGCAATGTGACTTTGTAAAGAAACACTACGCGCCTATAGACTGAATACTTAATACACGTGCATGGTGTCACTGTATTCACAAATTCGTGTTTTCGTAGTTTACATGGAGATGATAACAGTATCGTTTTCAAAAACTTGCACTTTGAAATCTGAAATAAAAAAAATTTGTGTAAATGAACGGCAAAAACGCATAAAAAGTTTCAGTGTTTGTTTGAAAACTGTTGTGTAAAACAGAATGCAGGCAAATCTGTGAATAGCACAAACCACTTGGAATCTGGTCTTTTCGATTCTGATTTGGGCCACTTCCATTTTGCAATTAAACCTCAGTCTGAACAGTCATGTCGAAATTCTTGTGCCTTTTACGTCACTTATTCGTCACTTCAAAGATTTTACTACATACCGTAGTTCTTTGGTCACTCTGTGAACATGGAAGACGGCAGCGAAGTTAGTCAGTGGAGGGACGGTGAGCTGTTATACTCGGAAGTATTACAGTGAAAGCTCTAAGCAAAACTGTACGGAAATACTATGCTCTCTGTCTCCTCATCATCATAGCCTGCACACAAATTCATCAGCTTTTAATTGAATGCGTAAATGCTGACTTCAGAAACGTCCATGTTTACTTTGGTGTAATTCTGTGCTGCATGCCATCTTTGTTATCGTTCTTTTGCACATGATGCGGGTCAGTTCAGGATTGTGACCTGTTCACACGCGAATCTGATATTGACCATAATTCAAAAAATTTGAACAGCAAAAAAAATAAAAATTTTTTTTATCTGAGCAATAAATCAGAATTGAGCGTTTGGGGGTTGAATAATTATGACATGAAAAAAAATACTATAACCGATCCTATTACTAAAACATGTTGGTTGTATTATTAATATTTTCAAATATCTCCTGCCGTTGTTTCTTCCGTCAGATGGATCTGATTGTGGACTCTGAGAGCGGCTCTGCCTCCTCCACTGATATTTTAAACTGTGCCGACAGCCTCCGGACAAAGAAACTGAAGAAAAAAGAAACCGAGCATGTCTTGAACAAATTTGTCCAGGACAAATGGTTAAACGAGGTATACATTTTCAGATATAATTAAGTATTATAAATAACTCACTACTACCCTCAAAAGCAATTAATTACTGTTTTTGTTCTTTTGTTATGCTACTTTAGAAAGACGGTGAATACACTCTTAGTGTCCGCTGCGTTGTGGAGATGGAACAGTATATGCGCTCAATCTACCAGGATCTCATCAAAGTGTGTCATGTGTGCCACAACATTGCCCTGCAGGTATAGACATACATACACATACGAGTAAAGGGTGTGGCTTTAGAACTCCCATCATTTGATTTCAACTGCAAGGAGTCATTTTTAAGTGAATAGCTCATGTTTATCTTGCTTAATAACTGAGTAGTTGAATTTTCTGTTAGTTAAGTTGTGTATTGAAATTGTTTTTCCATAGAATTGACTTGAGTGACTGGGGTTGGCTGATTTTTATGGCATTTTTAGACATGGGAAACTGCAAACAAAATGTTTTCTTTTATATTCAGTGCCAAATGTGTGAAAACCCAGCATGTGGAATCAAGGTGCACCTCCCGTGTGCTGCTAGATATTTCAGAGCACGCAGTGACCCTCATTGCCCATCATGCAATGATTTCTGGCCTCACGAGATTCCAGGTGAGCTGTTGTTATTAAAGAGATAGTTCACCCAAAAATCGAAATTCTGTCATCATTTACTCCGCCTCAAGCTGTTCCAAACCTGTATGGATTTCTTTCTTCTGTTGAACACAAAAGAAGATATTTTGAAGAATGTTGATGACAGTTGGTGGAGCCCATTGACTTCCATAGTAGGAAAAAAAATACTATGTAAGGCAATGGCTACCGTCAACTGTCTGGTTTCCGGCATTCTTCAAAATATCTTCTTTTGTGTTCAACAGAAGAAACTCATACAGGTTTGAAACAACTTGAGGATGAGTAAATGACAAAATTTAAATTTTTGGGTAAACCAACCCCAATTGCTCCATCGATCTTATATTATAACTGCAGAGTTGTTTACTTCAGAAAGTTTTAGATATCAAAATTGTCATGTCTTTTTCTTTCTTATTTGCAGAAATGCAGCATTTCCAGTCACAGAGTTCACAGAATCTACCTTCATCATCCAGAGAGAACACTGCACCCACAACGTCCCGGCGGTCGAGGAGGTCATGATCTCAAATCCTGCTGATCCATCGCTTCAGCTGTTATTTCAAGTGCTTTCTCTGAAGAGTCTAAGATTGTTTTTACATGTATTTTCTATTATTAAAGTATTGTTATTGAATAAGTTTGTTTCTCAATTCCACTTCTTTTGTTGTTGTTAGAATTTGAATTCAAGATCAAATTGTTTATGCAAATAAACTTATGTCTCTTTCTTTGCTCTTATATGGAGATGCTTGCTGTAGTATTTGAGCACATTTGTATGGTTGCCAAGATAAAAATAAAGTTTTTTGAGAAGCATATTGTTCTTTCAATCAAATACCCCTTTTAGATAGCCTGGGAAAACTCAGACAACTTCTGGCAAATTTAGATTGGCTCTGAAAGTTAGTCTGGCAAAGAGCTCATTCAAGCCCATTTCAAATCCGTCGAAATCGAGGCACCAATCAGAAACGTTGGGGCGGGCTTTACACGATGACGACAGCGCTGGGATTTTGAAGCAGATTTTGTAGCCTACATTACAAAGATGGATGCCGCCGTCGAACATCACTCGTTCGAATCGGCTATCGCGTCTGTTTTAAGCGATTTGCTTTTTGTTAAAAACCGAGCAAAGAACAACACTCGGAGATGTTTCTCCGCCGCTCTGCATACGCCATCTCCTTCATCGCTCTGATTGGTTTTAGGTCTATCCGCGACGTCCGTTGGTGACGCCCCTCTGGAAATGATTCGTCTATGACGCTTTGCCAGACCATAACTCAGTTACAACTGAGAATGGTCTGGTTTTAACCAGGCTACCTTTTAGAAGGAAAGTTGATCAAACATTAAATTGCTTAATACATGAAATAAAAAATAAAAAAATAAAAATTCAAGTTATTTGCAAAGTTCTAAATATGGTTAACCATTCAATTTAGTAATACTTCCTGTGGCCACTGAACCAAACGGAACGAAAATCAAGACCAGTAGTTCAAATCATACAGAATTGCATGTACTGCTAAAATTGATAAGATATTACTTGACAAAATATCAGCAGGGTTTTTAAATTAAGGCTTTTTATGACCTGCACTGTATGAAAGGGGAGAGGGCAATGTCTATGGTAACATTAAACCGTAAAATAACAGTACATTTCAAACTACAATTTAAACAACTTTACAGTTAAGATATATAGGTTTTGACAAAGACAACATTTTATAAAATGCTAAACCTCACATTTCAGCCGTTAAGCCATTTTTAAGAAAAGGGATGAGTTAAAATTATAAATATATTAAAATTATATTCAAAGTTAATATAAATATAATTTAAATATATTTTTTACATTATAATCTTAACCCTTATTAAGGTCTTAAATGAATAGTCATTGCATTAAATGTTGGATGCATTGCAAAAAAAAAAAAAAATCTTTCTCAGTATTTTTGTCTTTCCAATACAAATATCCAAACATCTTGAAATCAATATACATGTACTTCAAATGCAAATGTAAAGACGAGTCTGGAAAAATCTAACAAAATAACAAAATTGAGTTTATGCTTAAAACAAGAACAAATATCTGCCAGAGTTCTGAAAACTTTCATTTGAATTAAGTAGATTTTTAGGAATGTTTAGAAATTTGTACTTGGAAAAAAAACAAAAAAAAAACTGAGGAAGAACATCACTTTTTTTTTGCAATACAATCAGAAGGTACAGTAAAAGTTATTTCCATATTCTAGTAATTGAGAGCAGAGCGATTCGAACTACTTTTTTTGTCAAACGAATTAAAAAGTAGCCTAATGGACAGCGGCTGGAAATTGTATTAATTAAGTGCTGCTTATAAAATTGATTGCGTTCTAACCTTACATTTAGAGAACATTATTGATGTATTGTTTTCCCTTCAATTTTTTTTTACTTGGTCTAAAAATGTCTCGACCATTTAGGACATTTAACAGACAGGCTTAAGCTAGTCCCAGACTAAAATGCATGTTTGAGCTGATTTAACTGAAAGCAACTTGCACTGACATATCTTAAAATACATCAGTGCCATTGTTTTGTCTCAAGATTCACAAGTAATGTTATTTTCTAAGGTATGTTTATAAAAGCTACTTAAAATGTCCCAATTGAGCTAAGGCCTAATCCTGGCTTAATCTAAGCACTGTCTGTGAAACCAAGCCTTTATGGCCTTAAATTTAACTGAATTTCAGACTTTTTAAGGACCTGTAGGGACTCTCGCGTTGAATAAAAAAATAAAAAAAGCCAAATGGTTAAAAAGTAATGCTTTTTGGAATGTTAATATTGAAATAGAAGTGATAAAATTAAAATGATCATACTTCACATTCCTCCTAAAAGTGATTATATATTTTGCATTTGTACAAATAAAGACAATACAAGACAACAGACACTGAGCATGCCAATTTATTCTGTACAAATCAGGTCCACCAAAAACTGACAGAAAAGCTGAGCTCAAGAGAGCGCACATAATGCCAGTGCTGCAGAGGGATGAAGAGCACATCTCCGGGCCTGAGAACACACTCCTGATATGAGGCTCTAGAGAAGTCTGGGAACTTCACCAGGTCTGGATTCTCCACCTCCACCTGGTGGTGGTAAAGCAAACTCATATATATATATATATATATATATATATATATATATATATATATATATATATATATATATATACACATTACACACAGTATATAAATAAAAAGTTCAGTCATGAAACTCTAGAGGCTGCAAGCTGATAGGTCCTTCAAATGCAATCTGCCAGCAATTACATCATTACCGCATGGAACGAGCTGATTGGCCACTGCTGATCCTGCAGCCAAATGAGATTACTTGCTCTATTTAAATAGTCTGGTTCATTGTTTGCTGTTTGCTAGTCTTGCAGCGCACAATCAGATTTACTCTGAAACCCCACACCTCCACCTGCCTATATCTGTTACAGTATTTATGTATTTGTCTATTCATCCAGCAGCATATCTTACATGCTGCTCACAGCATTGTGTCTTTGTATCTATTAGCAGTCCATACTTGCTCTGCAGCAGCAATAATCAACAGCAGTGTAGCACACCTGGTCTGCCAAGACCAAATACATTAACATTACCATATTCAATAACATGCTAAAACTATTCCAAGAGTTGTCGTTATTGAAATGACTGGTAATGTACAACAACTAGGGCTATGTACAAGAAACTTCAGCTGTCATAAAGTAGTAGATCTTCTACCTGACTGGTGTTGTGCAGTAACTGTGACTGGTGTGGATAGAGATTTTTTGTTTCATCAAGGCTGTAGAGCCGGATGTATTTCCTTCCAACCACCTGACATTCAAAAACAAAAGCAGAATGAGTTGAAACAGAGGGAATCAAAAGCCTTGCCTTTCAAATGCCCAATGAACCATTTGTCTCGTGTTTACCTGTGCCAAAAAATTCTGTTGAGGATCCTGATGGAGAGGAGACACAGTCCCTCCAGGCCCAAACCAGGCATTAATTGTTATGTCATCCTCATCTCCTTCTCCAAGACAACAATAGTCTGGGATACGAATATCTTCTTTTAGCTCTGGAACCTATCAGAATGAATAACAGCCAAAGTTACTGCTATTGCTTTTGCATGATGCTACACCCTGTAGAAAATGTCCAAGTCCGAGAAGACTGCCATAGAACAACCTAAAATTACGGAGTTCCCTTTCGATTCGGTTCACTTCGACATTGGGTTTGTTAACGGGGGAAAACCCCTTCCTCCAAATACTACTGAAACGCAATGACTCGTTCCCTCATCTCAGGGAACCGAGGTTACGCGAGTAACTGGAGATGCTCACTTTTAATATTACAGTGCCCCTATTGTGCTTTCTTTGGATTTTACCTTTCATGTATGTAATATAACTGTTTCTGAATGTAAAAGGTGTGAGTTAATGTCTCCTAAAAGAAATAACTGATTTATAACTGCCTGAAACGAGTCGTCTGTAATTCCATTCTTGCTGCTTGAAACCTACGTAGGATTGTAACAAATTTACATAATGCCAGCCTATGGTCTTCATTTGCTGCTCACCAACGTCTACTTTATTCCTCCCTCAAACACTGTAGTTGTAGCTGAGCCCTGGAAGAGTTTCTTTTGTGTTGTCGACATTAATTAATGCGGTAAAACCAATGCCATCATTACTGATTGTATCAAGAGGTGCTTCTCAATACTGAAATTGGCCCTGTCCCAAATGGAACCCTAATGGTGCGTTCACACCGGACGCGAATAGCGCGTCAGGCGCGAGTGATTTCAATGTTAAGTCAATGCAAAGACGCGTTATGCGCGTAAAAAATTCCTGCGGCGCGAATGAGGCGTAGAGCGCGGCGCGGTAGACGCGAATACGCCTCATTCGCGCGTCAAGTTCGCGCGAATGGCGCGAATTGAGCGTCTGGCGCGTTAAGCGCGTTACGCGCGAATGATTTAGTTAGTGCTATTTGTGCATTCACGCGTTTGACGCGAATTCGCGTCTGCCGCCCGAGTTGAAAAATCTGAACTTCTGCGTCAATTCGCGCCGCGTTAACCAATCAGGAGCCTAGCTGCTGGCTGCTGTCACGTGGTGAAGTATCTGGATGCTTCAATAAATTATTTTGTAATATATGACTGTGGTTCTAATGCACAACAAAGCAAATATTTTATCACATAAAACTTGATTTCAATATATGAGACATATTCATTTTGCATTGAATGCTATTTATTCCATATCTAGATTATATGAAATATTATTATAATGTAAAGACAACCAACATATAAGTTCGTGTCTGGACAGTGATGTGTGAGAGAGAGAGAAAAATCACAGGACAGATTAATCACTTTTGGAGGCTGGCTTCATTTATTATCAAAACAAAAATAAATGACAGATTAGGTGGATGCGGGCGAGGGTGAACCTCGCGCCGGGCTGTAGAGCGCGGGCTCGACAGGCATAGCTAGACCACTCGAGGCCGAGGGCTTATACGGCCTACGCTGTCCTCATCAGCGTCCTCACCATTAGGTCCACCAAACCTAGCTCCTGGAGCAAATTGTGAAACTCCTGAAACCCTCCGGAGGTTCTGGTGGACCCGAGTACAGCGACGATGTCCCCTACGGAGCTGCTTCTGCTCTCCAGAGCATATACGAGCGGTGACTCTCTCGAATAATGCTAATGCTAATGCTCGATAAACATCTAAAAAGATGGCCGCCAACGGGTTTCGAAACTTTCGCCTCCGGATTTCGCCTCTGACGCGCGTAAATTTCGCTTCAAACTTTTGTTTTTACGCGCGTCAATTTCGCCATTGACACGCGAATTAACACAAAGTGGTCAAGCGTCAAACTAGACGCGGTAGACGCGAATTTGACGCGCTATTCGCGTCCGGTGTGAACGCACAGTAAGCACTCGCGGTCTTCCTCTGAGTCCACACTTTCGCGACGTAACGCCGCTTTGAATGTCGGGAAGAAGTCTGCTGTGGAGTCCGCATCAGCGCGGGCTCGGCAAAAGTGCGCATCAAGGGCGCAAATCGACCACGTGGGGGCGCTCGCGAGCACCCTTCTGAGATCTAAAAATGACAAATGGGACACACTGCGGTCTCACGGACTTAACGGACACGCGCACGCGGCAGCCATTGTAAGTCCACAAGACCGAAAGTGCTCATGAAGTGTGCGATTTGGGACAGGGCCATAGATGCTTCCTCGTTTCCTCCAGCCCATGACCCGGAAACTGATCAGTGAAAGCCATCTTAAAGCCACACTATGTAACTTTACGCCGCTAGAGGTCGCTTATTCCAAACAAAGATTTCACATAATCATGGGAGTTGTTGTCTTCACCTCTACAGCCGGTGGAGAATACGATGGACTCATATCCAGCAGAAATCATATTAATGGATGACCGGTATTGTAATAAAGATTTATTAACGTTACGAACACCGTTGGAGAGGAACGAGGCCGCTGGAGCGATTGCTCATGAGAGACAAGCGCGACACACAACTTGAGAGCAGTGGAGCTTTTATTATGCCGCAGACATACATTTGAGTGTGTTGAAAGTTGTTATAATGCTACTTTGTTTATTCTACGGCTACTATATGAGACACTTGTTGCACACTGCAGTGAGTTAGAGCGATATTAGGCATGGTAAAAATGGGAAATCAAGGAAACGAGAATTAAACAAAAAGACTAACTGTGTTGAGCTGTATAACAATCATTAGTTTTCTGTCGATGAATGTATCCAAACAGTCGCTCGCCTGTTTAATAAAACACATAATATATTAAAGCGTCTTTGGTGTAAACGCAGGTATGATTTCATTGATAGGCGACGCACGGACATGGTCCGTGTCCTGGTTTTAAACTGCTTATTTCTCTGGATTTAAACATTCTTGGAAACATTTGGGATAGTGTAAGTACACAAATCAACAAAATATATAACATTGTTCTAGTGATTTTTGGATATTTAGGACATCTCAATTCTCTAATTCCACTGCTAGGAACGAAGAATGAGGAAGCTTCCTGAGGAGTCATGAGAGAGGATATACAGGTGTATACTTCCCTTGCATCCTAAGGCGGTGTGGCTAAGACATGAAGAAAGGAAGCGAGGATGCACAAATAAGAAATGAGAAGCACTCACTGTGCTTCAAGCACTGAGGAAGCCTCCGGAACTAAGATTTAGATACGGTAATGACCGTATTGTTTCCGACACTCGCTGTAAGCGTTAGACCAATCACAACAGACTGGGCCATCTAACAAATCAGAGCAGCCTCTCAGAAAGGAACCGAATCCTTTATCGGACCTTTTAAGACACTGTGAGAAAAGAGGTGATGCTGTAATTTATATTACAGCAAAATTAAAAGTGTTTTTGACCTGATGTAAACCTAATATTGGAGACCTCCAAAACAAAATAAACATTTGAAAAAGCACAATAGTTGCACTTTAATATGAGAAAGTTAAAGGTGAAGTATCTAGTTTCTACTCATCTAGCGCCACCAAATAGAATTTCAACTGACCTGATCAAACAACTGATGCTGAGCCAGATATCCCACTCCATTCTCCGCCTATGAGAAAATAACCAAAAATTATAATAATGACAGACAGCTTCTCTAGGTAAAAATATTTTTAAAAAAATGTCTCTTACAATGAAATTTGCCTTACGGTTCCTATAATGTAGCGGTCTATGAAGTCATTCACTGTAACAAGCTTTTGTGACCACTCTTCATCAGTGTACTTGGATCCCACTTCAATAGGGACCGTCCGGCAGCCAGCAACAGTTCTTAAGTAGTCTATGCTTAGAAAAAGAGAGAGCAGTATGGTAGTGTACAGATGTTTTAAAGGATAAAATCTAAAAATGTATATTTTATCAGTACCTCCATGGATGCTCTGTGAAGGCCGGCCAGTGGTCAGTAATTCCCTCTATAATCACAGGCCGTTGAGGATCCAGGAAATCTGATCTGAAGCGCTCCAGGGATGGGCACTGAATCCTTGGCACTTCTTGAGCAGGGTTTATTACAGGCTCAGACACACAGTCCTGTTTCATTTTCTGTTTTAGAGAAGCTTTATAAGTGAATAGTGTATGGCTGAATAATGTAACATTGATACAAGCCAAGGAATTACAAAGCATTAGAACAAGGTTTCCAAAGTAGCATGACATGATTTAGCCAAATAGAACACATCCTGGATCAACATCTTTTGTTAGTTCTGGAATATTCTTTATTATTATTATTAAACAATTACAGACCAAACCCTATTGAAAACATCAGAGGAAAAAAAAGTATTTCAGTTTTAGAAGTTAAATATATTGTGAATGTATAATTTTAAAATGTAATGTTTAAAAAAATAAAATAAAATTCACACATTTTATCATATTGAAAATCTAAAGTTTAAATTATAGCTGAAATTTGATATAAGTTATTATAATTATACAAGGAACTCCAAGACTGCCATAACTTCATAGATGCTTTTGCTGGAAAATAACATTCATGGCAAAAAAAGAGTTGATCCAGGAACAGTGTTGATAAATCTAAAACTATTTTTTTTAATTCTCGTTAATTGAAATTAAAGCTAGAATAAAATAAAATATAAATATTAAATGAGAATACATACATTTATTTAATGGAAATTATAAATATTGCCTCAGCAACTAACTGAAATATAACAAGTTGAAGTACTACATAGGCTACAATTACTAAAAATGAAAAAGAAAATTCAAAGCTAAACAAAAATATTAAAAAGCGAATACAAATAAAAGACAAAAGCACATAAATTACAAAAAATAAGATGAAAATAAAAGCTAATTCAAAGCATTAATAAATACTAAAACAACACTGTCCAGAAACATATCATACTTGAGTAAATCACCCTAAACATTTTAAGAAACCGTTTACAGTGGGAAAGCAAGTAAAAACAACATGTACTATCTGTAAACAAGCTGTCACAAATTATTTCCCTTCAGGAAAGATGATTTCACCTTTGAACAGGGTTCTTCACTCCTCTCTGTGTTTGGGCTCTTCATTTTCATTCTTAAGATACCAACAAGTCTTTGCAGGATGTTGTCCATGATAGCTGCTCCCATTAACAAACTCATGTCACATGTCTTAATGGCCTCCTGGATGTTGTATTGTGATGGATTAGTATGACACAAACTTAAGACTTTGAATAAGCAGCCGTAAGAGTAAACTCTCCTCCACTCCTTGTCCACATCTCTCCATGTTCCAGTGTTAAGCTTCTCCCAGGAATAATCTAGAATGACTTGGGCTCTTTCAGCTGAAGCTGGGCAATCTGGTGCACGGTACAGCTGATCTCTGGCCAGCTCGAGAACATTCAACACACTTGATTCAATCTTTTCACTAAATTCAAGAGGGAATTCAGACACGGTCGAAGGCAAAACAGCGCGAACACCAGGCCAGATTGAAGCCATGAGCAGAAGACACTTTTGCAGATCACCTGTAATTGATTTCTAATGGATGATCTGGTGAAAAGCGACCATAAAAATAGTTCACATGCTTGGGAGAGAAACAACTAGGCTAACGTTACTGCTCATGGTATATATTACACGTCATATTTGTTACAACAATCAATTGACAGCGTTTAAAAATGTTCACAGCTAGCGTCACTTACTTGATAAATGTGTAGTTTATGTCAAAACAAGAGCTATTAAAGCGAAAGGCATTAACGTTTCCGTGTACGCAGTGTGCTCGGTTTTAGAAATGTCCGGCTAGAAACACAGAGTACAAACAAAGTTCCGCTCAGTTTTGCCGAATTGGAAATGTCCAAGTATTGTACCAGAAGCTCAAATTTATCGTACAAGAGTCAAACGTACAGAATACAGCTATTTATCTAGGCCAACAACTTTTTTTTACACGACCTGCAAATTACTGCCAAATGTATTTGAAACAAAAAAGCTTGTTGAATTGCACCAACCGTGCATTAACCATGCTTGCATTTTAATGCATTGTAGTTTTAGTGTTAACAGTTTTAGTGCTACATTTTTATTGGCTGATAATCAACATGGTTGTATATTTCCGCTGTTAATATTTCAATTCAAAACATTTTCATTATTAAAAATTCAATAACCAATATTCACCTTTCAGATTTCCCTTCCAAAAAAATGTCTATTTAAAATTAAAACCTATAATATTCGACCGGCAATTTTCGGTTCATTTCATTTCGCTTTACAAATTCCCTTCCACAAATTCAGTGGTTCAAATTCGACATTGCACATCCGGGAACTGAAGGAATAGCAGTAGAGTACCGAGCATAGACAGTATAAGAAGTGGACAGAGCCATCTCATTGGAACCAGAGACTATTTATATAGAGACATGCCACTTCCCCAATCCTTAATACAACTATATAGGGAAAACCCGTAACGCCAAAGATGGCGGTTGTATGCACATGCCCCGCCCCTCCCGCTCGAAAGCCAATCGTCTGCTTTTAACAGTCAAGCCGGAAAACATTTAAGCCTATCGTCTGGTTCCACCGACGCATGCGCACAGTTGAGGTTTGCGACAGCGGAAAATATGTTACTGTTTGAAAAGGCGGCAGATTTGATGTGTAGTGTAAATATCAGACATCCCAAGTCTCCCGGAAGTTCCGGGAGTCTCCCGCAGATTGATAGCGGCTCCCTGATGACCGCAAATTAGTTCAAATCTCCCGGAATCTAGAGCGAGCGAGCAGTAGCGCGCGCACGACAGAGAGCGAGAGAACCCTTGCGCATGCGCAGTAAAAGTATAACCTGTGGGGAAAAAGGCGTTTTAAACCTTATTTTGGGGCAAAGTCATCACACTTTTTCAGCGATTTTTATCATATTTTATTAGTGTTTGTATACATGCAGTTTTTATGTCCCGGTGACCAGTGAAAGTGCAGTTCTGGGTCTCTGCCCATTCATTTAGATAGGAGCCTGGTCTTGTTAGTCCGAAATAGCTGCCCGGAGGCGTTGCCAAGATGGCGCCCGAGTGGCATGACTTGCCTAAAAGGACTTTGTTGGAACTCAGTTGAGACAGTTGAAGCCCATTTTTAGCGATTTTTGAGCACTTCCGTTCCTGACGCGCAGACTCAAACCGACTCAAACTAAGCTTGATGACGTGAGCAACCTGTCTAACAGACGTGAATCTTCTAGTAGCTGTGCGTGAAAATTGCCAACGTTAATCTTGCAGAGACGGGGAACTTGAGCAAAGAGTTCTTTGGCGTGAGTGAGCAGGAGTAAGTATTCCGTTGCTTTTATGGACTCATTATCTATGGGCTTCTCTCTTGACGGGACGTCCCCCGATTGCCTGCGAGCTTCTCCTCCTGTCTGTACGGTAATTTCTGTACAGCGCGACAGAGAGTCGAGTGGTTATGACGCAATCGTTTGCCTATTTTTACTAAATCTGTTTCTACATAATGTAACATAGAAGGTAATGGAACCCTTTATACATTGTCGTGTTTCTTTAGAAATAAACAATGGACAAATGGAGTCTTTAAACGCCTCAGATGTAAAGTTATTCGCTGTCAAAGTGACGCCAAAATGAATGGGAGTCAATGGAAATGCTAACGCAAGTGAAGTTCTGCTACAACATGGCGGCAACCGGCCGGCTTCAACTTCCGGTCGATGGATTACCCCCTTGGTACCGAGTACCAATGCATGATCTCCATCTGCTGTTAGTCATCCTCACCAGAAGGTGATGCAAGTGGCTGTTGACAAAGACCAAACCAGAGAGAGTCATTCATTCCTAAAACGGATTTGCAGAAATGGAGCAAGTGGTAAGTAGGCTATGTGATGATTATCAGGGCTGATAAAGACACAAAAGCTGTGTTTACGTTCAAGTCTTCACGGTTACTTATGTACATGTAAGCAGCTTTCTCTACCAAGAACGAGATTATTGTAATGTTATTCCCCCAATGCTTATGTACAGATCAAACATTCCATCGGAGGTAGACATATATTTCTCTCGGCTGTTTAGTTTCCTTAACTTTAAGGGGTGGTTTCCCAGAAAGGGAAGGACTTTGCATTAGTATTATTAGGACATTTAAAAAGTTTTTACAAACTTTACCTTACAAAAAACATTACAGGTTGTGTATATTGAGACAAAACAATGGCACTGAAGATATGTCAATGCAAGCTGTTTTCAGTTTAGGAAACAATAGTTCTGACATACATTTTAGTCTGGGACTACTTAAACCATGTCCGGGAAACCACCCCCATCTCAGCGCTGTGCTGCAGTAGGGTTCCCCTCATTCGTCATACTCCAGGATTCCCCTGCCATTGGGACCAGTCGGGACATATAAAACGCAAACGCTTAGCGTAGCTTAATGGACTAATACAGTGATATAAAAGAGCAAACTCGCACCTTATTGGGAATGTAGATTATACTATATAGGCTACAGGGAAGCAGATGCACTCAGAATATGAACGTAATGCCCAAAGTTTGATGCAGTGATACTGGCATGAAGTTGTCTTGATGTTGGACGTTCAATATGCGCACATTTAGGGACCATCTCTAAAGATGTTTCAAGTTTCTAACTTCAATAGCTTTTGAAGAGAATGCCTTACAGTCAGTTAAAGCATTGTTACGACAGTAACAGTGAAAGTTACGACAGTGAAAGTGCGGACTCGTAGGAAGACCGTGAGTGTTTAGGGTGCCATGTGGGACAGGGCCTGATTTACACGGTCCGAACCACAACTGATTTGAAACAAAAGATTCATAAAGGTTTCAACGCCTTATGAAGCTGTGTTCATGAACGCCTCACATGACATCTTTAAGTTCTGAATGGTTTAATTATTAGGTGATTTAATGATGTTTGTGTCTTTTCGGGATCCCTGTTGAATAACCTGCTTCCATTATTGCCCTAAATTTGGAGGAAACCTGTGGCCTTCATTGGTTACACCATGGTTTACATGACTGCTCCAGTATGCCTACAGGTTCAAACGATTCTAGACAGTAAATGGACAGTTAATTTGTTGCATGATTATAAGGGATGATTGACAGATTAAACTAATTTTATTGTCACTGTAAGAAAAAATGATGAGGACGTTGAAGATCTTAAAGATTAAGTTTTATTGCAGCATAGCAGTGGCAAAGTACATGAAGCACCTTGGGTTCACCGGCGTCAAAATGAACCCAGAACACATTAGGCAAACAATTAGGAATAATTGGGCTCTCACAATGTGCATCATTGATATTAGCATATTGTTTGTTTTGATAACTCAAAAATCAACAATCAATAGACAATATAATGTGTGTGTGTGTGTGTGTACGTGCTTTTTAATTTTGTCGAATTGTGTCCATTTTCTCAGTGTGGACATCCTTTATCCACATGTGTGAATCCAACTGACAATATCTAGTGCAAATGAGTATGCATTTGTCTCTTCATGTGCAGTAAGTCTGCTGTCCATAGTCTCTGAAGTTGTTTTATCTCCTCTTGTTTCTCTTTCCATTGTCCATTCTTTTCCATTTGGATCGGAAGTCCTTTCTAGAATAAGCAGTCACTGGTGTTGTTCGAGTATGTGCCTCTCCATCTGTTCCATCCGTCCCATGGTGGGTCTAAGGGCTTCTAGATCTTTTAAGCCTGGAGTTCTGGATCTTGGTCTAGAAATCTCTGCATTTCTAGGTCATGGATCACTCTGTGCTTTTTCTTGAGAACATCCCCTGTATTCACTGGTTCCTTCTCATCCTTCAAACGACCAGATCATCTTTCTTCAGGAGGTTACACATTTCAGACAAACATCTCAATGCTTATACCTGAAACAATAATCAGAAGAGCCTTTCCCCCACAATAATCTTTTCACATTTAAACATCAAAGTCACAGAAGTTTCATCTCAAAACATCAAACATCAGTAATGTTTTTAAAAACTAATTCTAAAAATAATGCCATTAAAACATTTATTATAAATTAGAACTACATATCAATGCTAATATATATATTTTTTATAAATCATAAAGAATCACCCCCCTTTTGATAGTGAACATTTTTTTTTTCTAAAATGTGCTACTATCATAAAACAATTCTACTTTGTATCAGCATCTGTGTCTGGCAAGGTGTGAATGGCTTCTTTATTTCCATTCAACATTGCCAAATGGGTTTCTAAACTGCTTATTTTCTTAAGCAAATCACGATAGCCCATCTTTCTTTTGTGTGAAAAATGACACTGTCTTGCCTTGTGTCCCATCTTCCCAGATGCAAAGCACACAACTTCCTGATCTTCCCTTCTTTTCTCCAAACAATGCCTGGCAATGTGACCATTCTTTCCACATGTATGACAGACAAAGCTTTGAAGAGGTCTCTCATTGTCTTGACAATTTCCAGCAATGTGACCAGCTTTTCCACATACATAGCAAAGAATAACACCTTCTGAATTTACTCTTGCAAATCTCCTTGGTCTATGATGGAAACCATTAGATAATCTAGAACATTCTCTCCCACCAAAGGCAGCAACTGATGTCTTAATTTGTCAGCTTTCATTTGACTATTTGCATTAATATTGTTGTAAAACTGTAATTTTAGCAATAATGTCATTGTATTCAGAGAGAGGTGTCACAAGCATTGTCACAGTCAGACTGGATGAGTGGATCATATTTGTTAATCAAGGCAGACTTGAAACCGACATGATTCTTAGTAATATCAGGATTGCCATTGAAAGTTTTAAACGTCTCCAATAATCGTTCAGAAAATGCTGCTGGATGCTCCCCTTTCCTCATGTGCA